GAAAAATGATTGTGATGCAAATAGAAAATCTATTTATTTGTTCAGATCAATTTTCACAACGATTTTAATTTCCTTGATCGCCTGAGTTTTTTTCTAAATAGCTCTAATTTGTTCTAGTTTTTTGAATTGCTCTTTATTCTCTTTCAAAAACAATCAGCCAAATCAAGACGTGCTGCGATATATATGGTTCACACTTATGTTCCTTATAATTAATGATCTTCTATACGACGAATTGATTGCACATAATAAAGAATGACATAGTAGACGTTGTTTTTTTGAAGATGGTTTTTGGTACATGTAATCCATTGTGTAAAAATTAAAAGAATTTTTTAATTCAAACTAATATTCAAAAAAAACAAAACTTTGTTGTTTTTAGAAATCTTTCTTGTTAGGTAGTAGCGCTATCTCTCACCACTACCTCCTGTTTCTTTTCTCTCTATATCTACTTTTATCCATTGTCCTTCGTGTGATTGGAAAACATGGATGTATTGTTTTTTTCTCTGTTAGTGTTGTTTGTTTTTAGTAAGAAAGAATAAACTAGGAACAGCTAGTCGACACAGACTAATATTTCTTTTCTTTATTTCAATAAATTTTTTATCAAAAAAAGAGTACAATATGTTATATGATCATATAATCTAGTGAAATATGAAACATTGCATTATATTACTAATAGCGAACCACGATTTCCTGTCCTTCGAATATTAGCCTGTGGAAACGATTTTCTTTTGATTTCCATTTCCGTTTTCATAAGATTTTCAGAATTTTTATTTCTATTTCATAGTTTATGCTTGAGAAAAAATATCACTATCATATATAAAGTATTTATAACATGGCATTTTGCGTAATTTGATGTGAATTGAAATAAAAAAAGAAAAAAAATTATTATAAGAATTACTATCAGTTAAAATTATATAAAACTAACAAGCTGTTACGTAAACTTATATCATTAAAAATAAAAATAAGACAAAACTGTGTAAAAAGGTCAATACTTATTTTTCTTTCTCCTCCTTATCTATCTCGCCGGGTGTTACTTTCCATTCTGTGCTGCAAGCTTTCTCGATGCTTCGGTTAACATTCACAGTGCGGCCGATTATTCAGAATACTTCCATATCAATCTGCTCTTTTTTTTCCTTTTGTCTCAACTCTCTGCAAGCAACTGTCAAGAAAAAAGGAAAGGAAAAAAAAAATTTTTTTTTCTTATCTTCCTTCACATATTTTCTCCCTCGTTTCCTTCTGTCCTTATTAACATCGTCATTTCTTTCATAAACTTGCTTTTAGATCTATTCGTAACAAACTAAAAATAGTCGAAAAGATATTATAAATGTCGGCAATAACGGATCCAGTTATTGTTACTCCAACTGATCAAGTGAGTGTAACCGTTGTTCGAAAATCTGATGGACAATCAATAACTTTCGTAATGGATGAAAAAACTCATGTACATGATTTAAAAAAAGAATTAAAATTACGATTAAAACCTAGATTTGAACAAGGATGTCGTCTTATTTTTCGTGATAAAGTACTCAAAGGCAAACATTCACTTAAACATTATGGTATTAAAAAAGGTGTTAATGATCAAGCTATTTCCAGTATGTTTAAATTCTTTTATTTTTTCTATATTAAATTTTGTTTGTTTTCTTTTTTTTTTCTAATATAGTGGATGATTCAAAAGATTGGAAATCATCATCATCATCATCTGATTCAGAACAGTAAAAATAAACATTACTTTTTATTTTACAAAAACTAACATTTTTATCCAAGCTGAACTTGTGCAATACATATATTAACAGAATGTTTATTAGTTAGAATAAAAAGCACATAATATATATAAAACAAATTAGACTTTATATACTATCAATATAAAGAAAAAGAAATTTTATATGATTATTGATCAGCTAATTACGAATTTCGGAAGTATTGATGTTTCGAACATTTTTGTATTTTGAGTATTTGATGTTCAAAAAAAAAATGTTTTTTGCTGATTGGATAGCATGAAAAATAATTACAAACTATGATTGAAGCAAAGCAACCATATTATTTATGATTTCTATCTAGAATACACGATCCGTTCTATTTCTATTGTGATATAGTTATTATTTACAAAAGAAAATCAACGACGTAGTAGTTCTATTATGTATGTTAGAGATAAAAACAATTAATAGTGGTTATTTTGCTCTTCATATAAATAGAACTAGAACAACAAAAATTACGGATGACTATTTTTAAAAACTTTTTCTTAATATTTAAATTGTAATAAAATTAATTATTCTACAAGATTGTATTCTACGTAGAGGCTTCATAAAAGATTGAATGTTTCATAGTAATGCTATCAAATTTCTTGGTCTTTTTTTGATCATACGAAATGCAAGGAAGCATTTTCCGACAAATAATTTTCATCAAAGAATTTCTCTGACAACGACGTTCCACATTCCCAATAATTGTGTTTTTTCTGTTGTAAATACTATGAACAAGTAAATAATTGTGCGTGGGGCAGGACGTCTTTAATGCTGAATTATAGTAATAGTGTAAAGAAATTACTTTTTTAGAATAGATTTTTGACACGCTATGTAATAATATTTGAGAATGAATCGTAATATTCTTTTTCCTACAATCTTTTAAATGATAATTTCAATTATTCATGTAGAAGCTTTCTATAATAATATGACAATTCTAACAAAGAGGATTTATTTTATTCAGAATTCTGTTTTTCAAACAACTAGCATAAAAAAATAACTAGATGTATACATTGAAACATGATAAAAACCTTTTCTCCTAGATTAATTGTTATATTCAATCAATTATTTAAATAACTATTCAAAAACTCAAAGTTTTATCTCATTGTAAATTGTTATATTTAGTAGGAAATTTAGAGTATTGATAAGGCAAAAAGTAGTCATATCTAAAAAAAAAAGATTTGCGAAGTACTATGAAGGCAATTTTCATTTAATTCTTCTGTAGAAAAAAATTTATCGAAGCGAGAGTAATCGTCCTTCTTCACATCCTCTAAACCTGCCAGAGTTGATATACATTTTATGTGTGATGAATAAGAATGTATCTGTTTGTTCTATCGTCGTCATAGCCATAAATTATTATGAATAGTATATACAACACCATTCGTACGCGTATTTTTAGCTGACAGCTACTCTTGATCGTAAGAAGTTCTCTTTATTTTCAAGTATGTTCAACTATATTAATCATATTATTATCAACGAACGAAATGATGTTATATATAGATTCTACTCATAATGCTATTATTCTACTTTTTTTTTGTTCGTGGAGTACATAACCTTAACATGTACGTGTGCAAAGAAGCATGCGTGAGACATTCAACGTTAATTTATTTATCATCTTTATTTACAAATGTTTTCAGTCATAAGAAATTAGTAGAAGTTTAATAGAATGAAAAGCAAATCCACACGATATATAAACAGAAAGAAATTAATATTGTATTATAAGGTCACGATTTGTATTTCAACTTTTTCTTTTTCTTTGTCATGAAACATTTTCATAAAGCATTTATTACAACACGATAATATTTCTGAAAATTGCATGGTAAATTCATATAGAAAATATTGAAAAATAAAAGTTCTACACACAAAATTACTATGAAAGATAACGATGAACCCTGGAGGGATTTATCTATTTGCTTTTATAAACATCTGAAGAATTTATTATGTTTATAGTCGTGCAAGAGTTTATGAAAATGGCGTATATACGAAAAGGATTTATGAAAATATTATGTAGAACTTATGAGATTATCATGCACTTTGTAGGATTTATTATTCTACGCAGTATCATTTTAATAATTAAATAATACAAACGTTAGTTGTCATCTAATCATTGTTTAATAAATTTTTAAAGATTTGATATTTTCAGCATAACTTATAATAAATTATTAGAAATCTTCTGTTGAAAGAAATGTCAAATTGACATTGTAATGCTAGGTATATTTCAGTTACAATTTTTATGTTTTTTTTTTAGCGAATAGGATTGTTTATGTTTTGAATGAAGTATGCTTTACTATTTCAGACAAAGCTAATTGATAGTTTATTTATTTTAACTTATTTTATAGTAATAGTTTGAATAGAACTTATTTAGCAAGAGGTATTGTTATTTTGATTTTCTCATTTTAATGATTTTACGGTAGTTTGTTTATCATCAGCTTTAGCAAGAATTTGTGCCTTTTGAATATCTGTTGCATCAACTTCAGGTTTATTTGCTTGTAATAATGCAGCTGATCCTTCTGGACTATCCAAACCATGTTGTTGATTTAAACCATTATTTATATAAGCTTTCGTTTGATATTCAGATGATTGCATCATGAGAATGATTTAGAATGAATAACAAGGTTCGTTGAAATGAAAATTAGCGCGATAAAATCATCAATGATTTAAATCAAAACATGCTGCATTATTTTACTATACTCAGAAAATATTAATAATTTCATGTAGTTTAACTTTCTCGAAAGTTTTTATTGAGTTATGAAACGATACTAATTAGTATACATGTACAGCATATAGATTAAGACAATTTCAACTAATTTTTGATTGTTATAGGAATATTGTTTAGTCAATAAAGTAGTTATTGGTATTTATTTATGATTTGTTGTATTTGATACCAATCATTACTAATTTATGTGAGTTAAATAGTTAGTGAAGATCTGTTATTAGAAGCTAAATCTGTTCTTTGTCAATTTGATATGAAGTTTCTATATTTACAGTCATTATGTTTTTCTTGAGTCATTCCATAAAAGCATATCTGTCAAAGATCAACAATACTATTTTCAATAGATATAAAACGCTATCTATGAAAATAAAACGGTTTATTTCACTGATATTGAATGTCAATGAACGACATCTATATAACTATCATTAGAATCGTCGTTTGTTAATTTATCAATAAGTAAAAAAAGAAAATTACTAACTAAGCAAAAAATAGTATTTTGTAACATCCGATTGAAATTGTGTCATATAATCACAATATATTTTACAGACAATTACACTATGTCATTTTTGGCTCGACACAATATTTTCGTTGCTATTATATTCGGTTGTTTTGCTGTTCTTATACCACGAATTTTTTTGCCATTATTTCGTTCAAGATCATCATCACCGACGACTCATATCGATGATTGTAAGTATTTTTTTTCTTTCTAATTAAAACAAATTGAATCATTTATCTATTTTAGATTTTCAACGAGTACCATCATCGATGTCTCCTAATCATAACGATAAAGTAATCAAACATACTTCCATTCCATTTAAATTCTACATCAAACAGAACTTTTAACTTTTGAATTTATTTCAGGATTCTTCATCGCATATGTATAACGCATACTCGAATATGCGAATGCCTAATTCTGGTGCTGATAGTCAACAACAATCATCAATCGATCAAAATAATTCAAAATCAAGTGCAACTTTTGTTTTACCAATGTATACTGTTGGTATAGGACTTTTTTTTATTTATACATGTTGCAAAGTATGTTGAAATAATATAATATTATTTATTAAATAATATTTATATTTATTTTAGTATTGGAAAAAACGTAATAGTGAAGAAAATAAAATAAAACTTCAATATTCAACAAATAATATTCAATGGAATAATGAAAAAAGAAAATTTAAATATCATGCTAATAATCATCATAGTGAAGATGATGAAGAAAATGAAGATTCATATGCTGGTACTGGTTTTTTTTTAATTATTATATTTTTTCTTTTTGTTCGTTATAAAATAAATATCATTTTTTTTCCTAGGACTAGATCCTGATTATGTTGAATATTTAAAATCGAAAAGACGAAAAGAATTCGAAGCTGAACAAAATGCTACAGTTGAACAAAACCAAAGTTTGTTTTCATATTTTATTTGTTTTTCTTTTTTCGAAGAATAATTTTTGTTTAGTGTATCATGCTCTTGATGAAATGAAAAGTTCATTATCATTTATTAATTCAAAACTTGGAACAAATGAAAGAAAAAATAATTTAACTAAATATGAAATATCACAATTACAAGATCGTTTAGCTTCAACTGAAGTTCAAATGTATAAAATTTTAAATACAATTAATGCTGTTACAAATAAAGTTAATGAATTAACCAAAAATACACGACAATCTCTTGAAAAATCAGAAGAGGTCTATTTGAAAAACGAATATGAATTTCTTTTTCATTATAGGTTTTTGTGTTTTTAATATCTAATTATAGAATTTTAATAATGAAGAAGATTATCATCTATCATTAAGATCACATGATGAAAGTGAAGATAGTATAAATGATGAAGAAAATTCAAATAGTGACGATAATTCATTGCATCAAGAAGAACAAATATCACTAAATAATCAACATGAAACTTCATCATCATCATCATCATATGAAGATGATGAAGAAAATTCTAATGAATCAAAAGAAGAAGATGATGATGATGATGAATCTGAATCATCATCTGAACGTTATGGTATGATGAATACTAATTATGGATCGGATCCAAATACAATTGATGATTATGAATTAAATACAAATAACAAGTCTGAACAAACAACTGATAGTCGAACCAAAGTACATGAATGGCGTCAACGTAATCATTCTCAATCGTTAAGTAGTAGTAATTCATCAATAGAACAAGATCAATCGATACCAAATGAAGAACAAAACCATTTAAGAAGACGACAATGTCAAGAATAGACATTTTTCTTTTCTTTTACAATCTGACATAAGATGTCAAAAATTTGAGCGAAATCTTTTTTTTCGATATGGTTGGATAGAGCTCGTCGAGCTACCTATAAAAATCTTGTCTTTGGCAACTCAAGTGACAGCTGCCGTTTGAGTTTATACTAGCCCAACAGTCAAATCTCAGTGAGAATAACGAAAACCTAAAAGGATTTCTCCTCATTGGCGCCAAGTTACAACCAGTTTACTGGATGTTTGCTCCATTTTAGATATTCTTCGAAAGACTAAATAACGATGTTTTGAGCTAAAATTTCGCCTATGAATAGATCTAGTGGCTCTTAGAATATTCTAAAATTTTCAAGTGAACTCGATTATTGTGACAAAGTGCTATTTTTGAAAATTCAATATCTTGACGAAGGAATATTCTTGTCGGCTACAAGTTTCTGAATATTTTAAGAGTAATTAGGCCTATTTATAGGTAAAATTTTTGGATCAAAACTTCTTTGTTCAATCTTCCGAACAGTATTTAAAATGGGTCAAAAATCCAGTAAATTAATCATAACTCAGCTCTAATGGGGCGAATGCGTTTGGGCTTTCGCTATTCCCACTGAGATCTGTCTGTAGGTCCAATATAAACTCAAATGACGGATATCACTTAGGATAATGCCTTCGTGAAACTTGATACTTATGGTGTATTTCAATTTTTTTTAAACCTAATTATTGCTTATCATCTGAATATGTCACAAACTAGACTTTTAAAGAGTAATTTGATGAGCTCTATTCAACCATGCCAAAAAAATAGTTTGCTCAAATTTCCAGCACCTTACTTTTCTAGTCTTTTGTATATATGAATTTTCTTTTAACAGCTTTAATATTCATTTGTCGATAATTTAAAAATTTTTTTTTTTTTGCTTTTAGATTAGGAATAATGGCTGATAAATATAAAAATGTTCGTGTACCTGGTCCAAATGATAATATTTATAAAGATGAATGTCTTTATTCATTTGATAATCCAGAATCTGAAAACGGTCTTTATATTTGTATGTCAACATTTCGTGGAGTTGGAAAAGATCAGCTTGAACGACATTGTAAAAATAATCCAGGAAAAAATGTTTTTTTACATATTGTACGAAGACGAAAACCAATACCAGTCGATGTTAATATTGAACCAACTAAAGTAACAAAATTAGCAATTGGTATTGAAGGTGGTTTTGATGTAAATCAATCAAATCGATATACATTTGAAGAACAATATTCAATTTATATTCATCCAAATGTAAGTGTTCATTATCCAGATGAATCTAATCAATTACCTGAACATGTTAAAAAATCAGCTGATGCTATTATAGCTGCTGATTCTGCATTTTTAAAAGAAGAACGTTCACTTTTGAATACAACATGGAATGGAGAAATTCGTCCTATAACAAAACATACACAAAGATTACCACAATTAAATAATGGTAGAAAAATTCCACCAATTGGTTGGAAATGTGAACAATGTGATTTAACAGAAAATCTATGGCTTAATTTAACTGATGGAGCTATTTTATGTGGAAGAAAATTTTTTGATGGTAGTGGTGGAAATAATCATGCTGCTGAACATTATTATAAAAAAAAATACCCATTAGCTGTTAAACTTGGTTAGTTATTTAAAATTTTCATTTTTTTATTTGAAATCAAATTTTATGTTTTGAATATAGTATTTCATAATTTCGATAAAATTAGTCTATTCATTGATCATATCTAAGACTGTAATTGATATTGATATAATAAATGTGATCGAAAAGTAATTTGATAAAATGTACATTGATTTTTCAGTCTCTTAAAAGAGATTGTAGAAATTTAAAACCATTGATTTTATGTTGTTTCGGAATATAAGTTCAACATTTGTCGAGAGTTTCTAGTGTAGTAGTTATGAGTCGACCTTTTTGAGGCGTGAATTTTTACATAGAATTAAAGGCAAGATTATTCTCTACAAAGTGATAAAAACAATTAAAAGTTTTAGAACAATCATTCAGGAATGAGCAAACTCACTTTACAAGTCTGTTTTCCATAGGAATTCAGAAAATTGGCTAAATGAACACGATGTACCTTATCAAAATAGTTACTGCTGACAAATGACTTGCAGCAAACTAATCATTAGTATATCATTTTATAGAGAAATGTTTGCTCTTACATTCGCTGTATTGTAAATAATTTTTGCTTCTACTTTAAGTAATTTTTGACGCACTGCAGCTTGTCCAGTCTCAAAAATGTTGGTTCATAACTTTTAAACTATAAATTCTACAGAAATTTTGAAGTCATATTAGGACAAAAAACACAAAATTCTGATGCTAACTTAATGTTATCAAATTTCTCCAGACTGAACAATGAACGAACATTTTGTCAAATTATTTTTCAATCATCCATTATGTAATACTTGATTGAAGAGTAATAAACTATATGAAAAACGATATTTTAAAAAATAAAGTAGCTATTTATAGTTGAAAATACATCAAATTCGTAATGTATAATACGTAGAGCCATTGTAATTATCTTATTTTTAGGAACAATTACACCTAAAGGTGCTGATGTTTATTCTTATGATGAAGATGATATGGTTGAAGATCCAAATCTTGCTATTCATTTATCACATTGGGGAATAAATATGCTTAAAATGGAAAAAAGTGATAGATCAATGGCTGATTTAGAAATTGAATTAAATCAAAAATATGGTGAAGCATCTATGATTGAAGAAGCTAATTCAAAATTACAACCTGTTTATGGACCAGGTAGAGAAATTCATAATGTTGTTTTCTGGATAATTTTTTTTTTATTTTGTTAGGTTATACGGGAATGAGAAATTTAGGAAATTCATGTTATATGAATTCAGTAATGCAAGTTTTATTTACATTAAAAGATTTTCAAGAAAAATATTATCAACATTGTGATTTTTATTTTGATAAAGCTAAAGATCCAGCAAATGATTTTAATGCACAAACAGCTAAATTAGCTTTTGGTCTATTATCGGGTCGTTATTCAAAGGAACATTCAACTAATAGTGACATATCATTACAAACACCATCAGGTATTCGTCCACAAATGTTTCGTTTATTAATTGGTCGTAATCATGCAGATTTTGGTACAAAACAACAACAAGATGCTGCTGAATTTCTTCAATATTATATTGAACAAGTACATAATCATTGTACGAAAGATCCAACACCAAATCCATTACTTGATCCAAGTACTTGTTTTCAATTTGAACTTGAAGAACGTATTTATTATCCTGAAACAAATCAAGTACGATATTTAACACGTCATGATTCAATGTTTAGATTAAATATACCATTATCAGCAGCAAGAAATATGCATGAAGTATTACAATATAATAAAACAAAAGAAGATATGGAAAAAGAAGGCAAAAAAATAAATGACTTACCAATTGTACGTCCCATTGTTCCACTTAAAGAAGCTATATCACAATGGGCTGAACCAGAAGAAATTAATGATTATAAATTACCACAATATGGACGTACGACAACAATAAGAAAAACTCAAAAATTTTTAACTTTTCCTGATTATCTTTTTATTCAATTAAAAAAATATACATTTAATTCTGATTGGACACCAAGAAAAATTGATGTTTCAATGGAAGTACCTGATGAACTTAATCTTAGTTCATTACGTGCAACTGGTTTTCAACATGGTGAAATATTAATGGTTGATGGTAAAATAAAAATTCTTCCTTTTTTACTTCGAAAAAAAAAACCCTTTCTGCAATTGTTTAGATGATGAACCAACAGGACAACCAACTGTTTCTGTTAATGAAGTTCTTTTACAACAACTTGTTGATATGGGTTTTTCAAAGGAAGGTTGTAAACGAGCATTAATCAATACGGGTAATAATGATATTGAAGCAGCTATGAATTGGGTATTTGAACATCAATCAGATCCTGATTTTGATACACCATATCAAGCACCAAGTAAAAAAGCTCGTGTAGAACAAATTCAAACACCACCTGTAAGTTATCTTCTTTTACAAAGAAACAACCAGCTGTTAGCACAACCTCTGCAAGACTAAAATGTGAAATATAATATAGCTACTCTTGCTAATCGCAAGGAGATTGTTGTGTTCTATCTATTTTAGGACACATTTTTTCAAGAGGAAGGAAAAGCATAAGAAAATAAATAGCATCAAATATGTCGTTGTTGATTACAAAAAGACGGAAATATATATCATAAAACTCTATTTTGTTTAACTTTTTTTTGTATTTCTTACTATATAGGTGTTATGGTCGGAGGGACATTCTGTGGAAGTTTTGTTCGATTTGGAATTGTGAAAAATTGTTCAAGCTCATTATACTTAACATATGTTTCCGTTAAAAGTGCTCAGTATTAAAGAAGGATGACTTTTTACGAATCGATAGAGTCAAAGATGCAGTGTCAGATTATATATAATTTTCTCAGGAGTAGCTTCTCCTTATTGCTCACAATGAAAAAGACTCTTAGTCTTACTAGTGACTTTTCTCGACAAATGTTAATAAAAGAAACAAAGACTTTTATATCAAGAAAAAGCGCATAAGCCAGAGTAAATGTAGCTATAATTAGGCTATTAAAAAGTGCACTTTCAATTTTTTACCTAATATCTCACAGTGGAGTGCTGGTACAAATTTCTATTCTATATAGTGCAACACTTCTTCTAGATCGTCTTTTACAAAATTAAATCTTTTGTTTCTATTTAAACATAATAGGTGGATGAAGAAAGTATCGGCATTGTCATGTCAATGGGTTTTTCACGTAGTCATGCTCTTCGTGCATTATCATTAACAAATAATAACGTTGAAGCAGCTGTTGATTGGGCTCTTAATACACCTGAAGATAGTTCTGTTTTAAATACATTAGTTCAATCATTACCTCAATCATCAACTGCTCAACAAACAAAACAAAATTATCGTGATGGTATTGGTAAATATCGTCTTGTGGCTTTTATTTCACATATTGGTAATCATCCATCATCAGGTCATTATGTAGCACATATCCTTAAAGATAATCGTTGGGTTATATTTAATGATGAAATTGTTGCATTTTCTGAACATCCACCAAAAGATTTAGCTTATCTTTATTTATACAAACGTGCAACTATTTGATTGTAATATTCAAAATACAAACAAATAATAACTCTAGTTTCATTATTTCATGTTTTTTTTTCTTTTATTATAAGTCAAGGAATATCGACTGTTTATTATCATTAAAAACGACGATATTGTCATTCATGACATGAAATTTTGTTTTAGTTTTTTTTATTATTTTCTTTCTTAGATGTATATTAATTACAAATTCTGATATTTAATATCCATTTTTTAGTAAGTAAAAACAAAAATGAATTAATTCAGTTGGTTTTTTTTTTATGAATTCTTTTTTTTTTGTTAAAGTCATTATTAGTTTTACATAATCAGAAAAATAAAAATGTTAGCAAGTAGTGAAATGCAAATTCGTCGTACAGCAGGCTCTCGTCCTATTGGTCAAACAGGTTCATCATCAACTGGTATATCAGCATCACCAATTGGCAATGATAAACGAAAACATGAATCTATTTTATATAGTGATGCAGCTGTTCGTTTTAATGAAAATAGTCTTGAACAATGTCGTACATCTGTTAGTGCATTATCCGGTTGTGTTGCTGGTATAATTGGTCTTACATCATATAAGGGTTTTCTTTTTTATGGTTTCTCAATGTTTCTTTTATCGGTACTTATATTTATGTTTATTCGACATGAACATCGAAAATTTTTTACCGGACTAAATCATGTTTTCGTTAATGGATTTTTTAATGGTCTACTTACTTATGTACTCTTTTGGACATTTCTCTATGGAATGGTTCATGTTTATTAAGAGTAAAAGACAAGAACAAAAATATATATATATATATATATGAATAGACTGTAATATCAGAAAAGTGTTTCCTCTATGTTGTTGTTGTTTTTCCAACTGTGTATTGTTGTTGTTATTGTTCGATTTAACAAAAGCAAAAGATTAAAAGAATAAACTTTATGATAGATGATTTAATTTAATATAGACTTTAAAGATAATCAAAACAAGTATGCTTATTAGAAGAAAAAAAACAAAAGAAAGATTTAAATCGAATATTTTGAGTTTTACAATTAATTGACCAGTTCTACAAATAACAAAAAAAAAACAATGAATATTTTATTAGATATATATTTCAGATATGAAAGTCAAGCCGACAATTTCAAATACATCATCATCATCACCATTGAAACCACTTATTGATATAAATAAAAGTTCTGTACGATCTTCACCTGAAACAAATGATTGTTATGCAGTTGATCTTACTTTAAATAGTACTAACAATCATATTGCTGTACTGACTATTCCAAGTACAATTCAATTATTTGATGCATCAACATTAAAACCATTATCATCTCTTTCATCAACTACAAATAATTTTGATAATAATAATTCTTCATCTTCAATAAAAATTCATTCTATTCAATATGCTTATATTTCACCATATACATTATTTGCTTCGACAAATAAGAATTTAGTTCTCGTATGGGATACAAGAACACCACAATTAGAAACTATTCAATTAAATGGTTGTGCTGATACACATGAATTTCTATCAGTAACATGTAATAATGAAGATCAATTAGTTGCTGCTGGTACTGAACTTAGAGGTGATGAAAATGTTGCTATTGCTTTTTGGGATATACGAGCACCAATAAATAAACAATTATTAGGATATTATACAGAATCTCATTCGGATGATATTATTCAAGTTAAATTTTCTCGAATGAATTCAACTAAATTACTAAGTGGTTCAACAGATGGTCTTGTTTGTTTATATGATGTATCAAAATTGAATGAAGATGATGCACTTGAACAAGTATTTATTTAAAGCGCTAATAATTCAAAATTTCGAGCAAAAATTTTTTTCAGCACCTTTATTGTTATGGTTGGATAGAGCTCGTCGAGTTACTCCATAAAAAATGTTTTTTTCAGACACATTTAGACGATAAGTGAAAATCAAGTTTTAAAAAATTCAGAAAAGCTGATAAAAATTAAAATAAACCAAAGACATCAAGTCTCGGTCGCCCCAGCGTTTATTGAAATTTTTAATTTGATGTAACTCGTTATATAGTTAGAAAAAAAAATTATTCATGCTTGATGAAAAATACTGTTTAATTTTTAAGATAATCGATTTTTTCTATATGATAGCAAAAAAGCCATATATACGGATTCGTTTTCTAAGATTTTGATCATCGAAGAACTTTAGTTCCAAAAGCAACAAATGTCATATTTAGAAACAACACAAAAATTTGCATTCAATCCTCAAGGTCGAATTTTAAGCATTGAATACATTATTCAATGCAGATTTTTGCAGCTGACTCGGAATATGATATTCGCTCGTATTGAAACTGAATCATTGATGTTCAAAATCTTAGAATACAAACATGTATTTATGGCGTTTTGCTATCATATCGAAAAACAAAACGATTTTCTTAATAATATTCTTCAAAAATCAAGAATAATGCTTCCATGCAACTATGAGAAAAAGACCAAAACAAAAATTCTCGCTCAAATTTAGAATTACCAGTACCTTCTGAAAAAAAAAAAGAAACAATTAACAAAACTTTTTTCTCTAGGTTTACAATGCAAATGGACCTGTTGCAAAATGTGGTTTTGCTCAATATAATACAATCTATGCAACAACAGCATCAAATGGGTTTTTTATTTGGTCAACATCCGATGAAAATCAACAATTACTGATACAAGGTGATACAGATAATGATTTACTAACATCAGAAATTTCTTCCGAAAAAATCGATACATCATTAAAATCTTCAACAATTATTCATCATCTTTCTTCATCACATGCAACTATTGTCGATATACTTTCTGATTGTAATATTCAAGATTTGTTACCATCTGTTACACAAGAGACAAAATCCTGTTGGCCATTATTAATGTGTGATCACATGGGAAAAATGAATATTACATTAGTCTCATCTAATGAATCCCAACCAACTATTTTCCCACTTGATTCACCTCATTCTGAAACATTACGTGCAGCAGTCACTTATCGTTCTACACTTTATTCATGTGGTGATGATGGACAATTGATTCAATGGCAACCATCATCATCATCATCACCATCATCGACGTATAATTCCAATGAGAATCAACAACAAACAAGGTCAAAGAAAAAGTCAAATAATAGAAAACCCTACTAAATCATATTAAAAAAAATTTTTTTTTTTTGATTTTGTTATTGTCAACATTATAATAAATATATTGTTATATTGGAATAAAACAAAAGAACCTCAAAGGAAATTGAATTATCTATGCCTATTATTAACATACTTAATGAGATTCTCTTGATGTTTCATTTAATTCTATTTTATTTCGTTCATTTACAAATTCTTTCTAAGAAAACATATTATGCTACAACAAACTTTGTTATATACAAATACGATTATTGTGTATTTATATGATAAAAATTTAATTTAAGGAAAATCAAAGCTCTTTACATTAATCATGTCTGAAAGAAATTAATGCACTGTGACTTGACTATACAAGATTTCAGTGTATCTTTATCATTCATACGTATAAATGAAAAAAAAAATCTACAGTCGAAAAAAAAAGAGGCATACTTTTACAATCTTAATAATCGATTGTTTCAATCATATGGGACATCTCAAAGTTTTCTGGAAGAAACTCAATCCCCATTATGTCAACATCGATATCTTCTTCCGATCGACGACATTGATCTAATTGACAGGATACATCAACGAGTGCCGGTGAAGACATCAAAGAGCGTAAGTGTCGCTGATCTGAAGAAGTACCAATTCATCAGTAAATTTTCTAAGCGAAAAATTCTTAAAATATTTTTTCGGTAATCTAATATCATTGAATGTGGTCAGCGATTAGCGTTTTTCACACATATATGCTTTTTCTAACTATTAAGTATGATGCGCACCGCCATTCATTTCTTATTTGATGCGACTATCCAATTATATATATATATATATATGCAATGGTTTGTTGTTTTTCTATCGAACAACTATTATCGGCACATTGCTTTGATCGTCTTCAAAGAAATAGACAGATTAAACGCATGAATGTATATACGTTACAGAAATATATATATTTTTTTTCAAAATTTTCTCTTCTCCAGCTGCGAAGTGTCTTGACACGATCGGCGATGTTTCGAATGGACGGGAAAAAAAACGAATTGAACAGAAACGAAAAAAAAAGAGAGAGGAAAAAAAGTTAGATGTATAAACATCTAACAAAACAAGACAAGCTAACCTTTCCTTTTTTCATTCGTTTCTTTAAACAATCTGAATACAATTTGATCGTCTTTGTGTTTGTGTGTGTCTAGATCAATTTTTACGTGAATTTGAAATTCTTCAAAAAAAAAAAATTCGAAAACATGTCTTTCAGCGATACGGAATGTTCGCATCGTTCATCATTAACAACTGTTCATCGTGTTCCAGCAAATAACAGTTCACAATTATCACGAACAACATCTATACATGAAATTATATCAAATCCTGAAACAGCTGAATTATTTCTTGAATATCTTATGAATTCACCACAAACAGCATCACTTGGTGCTGTTTATGCAATTATACTTGTACTTAATGAAAAAAAAGATGACGTAAATCAATTACATGATATTGGACGAGCTGCATATAAAACTTATATTGAAAATGAAACAATTTTACCATGGTTACCAACACAACGACGTATAGAATTACGTGATAATTATCGTCGTAAACAATTTGATGAACATTTTTTTGATGGTGTCTTAGATGATCTTCTTATTTATATTGAAAATCAAACAGATGTATTTCGACAATTTCTTAATTCACGTCTATGGAATGAATATCGACGTGGAAAATTTTCAAAAAATCATGCACAAATTAAATCAACATCAACACTTGGAAATAATTCTAGTAGTTATCAAAATGAAAATGAACTTAAACGTTCACGTAAACTTCATTCATCATCATTATCATTACAAACAAAAACTAAATCATATCATCACCATCATCATCATCATCAGAATCGTAGTGTTCGAGTTGAATGTTCGTAAAAAAGAAAATGAATTTTAATTTTTTTTGATTTTGTTTTCACTTTTGTGTTTTTAGCTACGTCAATAAAAAAAACTCGTGTAGCTTATTTTTTACCTGGTAGTGATACACCATTTGTTATTCAAGTAGCTGTACCGTCCGAATCTATTACACTCAACGATATTCTTCCACGTGTACATACGTCATCAACGAATCAACGTAATAATATGAATACGAATAATTCATTTGATTATTTTGTTAAACATCGTGCTACAAATGAAAATTGGCTTGGTGGTGATATACAATTTATTAATGAAAAAATTGAAGATTTTGATATACCTCTACCAAATATTGATGGTACGGTGGTGATTAGAATACTTAATAATAATTAAACTATATTATTTTTGTTTATTACTTTTCTTTCTTCTTATAAATGTATAATGACTTTTTTCTTTTTTTTTTTTTCTTGATATTCTTATTATGAATTGAGTAATGTAAGATATATTGATGATTCATAAATTCATACACAGTGCAGATGTATATGAGTGATGTTTTTTTGTTACAATGAATGGAAGATATGAATATGATATTTGATTTGTTTGTTGTGACACATAAAAGAATAAACTAGACGAGAAAAATCAATCATGCAGAAACTATGAAATAACTGGATATGTCAGGTAGTTTTTTTCGATTGGTAAATAAAAGAAAAAAAAAATGATGAAGACAATATGCAGAGATATGCATAATCAATAAGTTTGGTTTGTTTTGATAACAACCTTGAAATGTAAGTATTGTAGTCAGATACATACTGACATAGCAAAAAACGGATTATGAGTGAAAATTTTTATTCGTTTAATTTTATAGAAATAATCTCCTAATATTAAATTTAATCATATAGACAAGAATAAATTTTGATGAGTATGTTTTTATTAATCGTCACATTACTAATGTCGTTTCTTTTACTAGATGATGAGTCATGGGTAAAATCGCATTTTTCCTATTCTTCTTATAAAACGACGCAAAAAATTTGAGGTAATTATCCTGTTTAGGCGTCATTTCTGTGTGGGATCAACTTGTTATATAAAAATATTTATAATAATACTAATTATTGTTAAATTAGTTCATATTCTATCGATTAGCAAAGTTCTCAATCTAATATCTAAGAAAAGTTTCTTCATATTACTTTAGAAAATGAAGATGAGTACTTCTTATTAACATCGAAATCTATTTCATTATTTTAGATTATTTTTAATATTTATTAAAATTTAACGATGGGTCAAATTAGTTCAACTGCTATTATTATATTGGTAGTTATTGCTGTGGTTATAGTTATTATTGTTCTGAGTTTATTGGTAAAGAATAAAATATTTTTCAATTATTTATTTTTATTTAATTTATATTCAGATTTGTTGTCTTTGTAAAAAATGTGATCAATGTGCAAGATGGTCACGAGGAAGAGCAATTGAAAGAGAAGAAACGGCAAGAGATCGAGAGATTGCTGAAAGTCGACGTCACTTTAATGAAATTCGTCAACAACAAGATCTAGTACACGATCAACTTCGGGTGAAATACAATCTTAATGGTGGTGATTCGAAGACTGTTATTGTTCCATAGTAACTCTTTTTTTTAAATTTTACCATTTATATTTATATCAATGATCTTTAACATGGTGATAGATCTGTTACATTGTGTCTTTTCATGCATACAATTCTGTGAAAATAAATGTCAATATTTGATCGATGTCTATCTCACTTGAGAGCCGAGTGTCTGTCTAGTCTAACACCGATAGCAATTTTTAAAATTGACATAAATGAAACGAGTATTGTCTCACGCGACAAATGTCTCCATTCCATATTACTTATGGGAGTCGAATTAAAATACATTTTTTTTTCTCTCACTCGCTTTGTTCCTCTCTATTTGGGCCTTTCTCATTTCTTTTTATGTATATAAAAGTTCAACTGCCCTATTCGCGTCAATGGCCTATTCTGTTACTACTACTGCTGCTTGATTAACACAGTGGGTGTACGTACTATACAGAGTGACAAAGAAATGAGGTCAAGTTGAATGCAAGGTCTTTGCCCACGGTGGACGACAAGAAAAGAATTAATATTCGATATCATACAACATTACTATTATATTCATTCGTCATATACACACGCATACACACGTTCACATTTGTACATATAAACATGTTAACAATATATCTTCGAAATCAGTCAAGTAAGACCATCATCGGAATGACTGGAAGAAATTATTGCAAGATTTTAGCTGATAAGAATAAACATCTTTTTTTATTTTTTACATCATAGTTATTCTTATCTTTTTATCCTATCATTATATGATATATATTAATTATGAATGTAAAGATGGAAATAGTTTCTCATTGACTTTATGTGAACATTGTCAAAAAACAAAACAATATTAGTCTTTCGACTAATAATGTAAAAGAAGAATACATTTGTTATTTGAAAAATAATAATAGTAATGACTAAATAATTTTTATTTCCCAATTGTTTATTGTAGAACAATTTATATTCGTTCGTTCTCTTTCGAGAATTTTCTTTTCTGAAATAACATTATCGAGCAATGAGAAAACTGAGACTAGAGAGAAAGAAAAAGAATGATGATTGAACAATATTCTACGCCGTCATTCTCATCATCATTTTTGACAGACGAACCAAGAAGAAGCTCGCACTATAGTAGGCAAGATGTGTTGGCGGACACTCGATCCAACTCTAATGTAGAAGAAAAGAAAAAAAAAAGTAAAGAAAAAACTGGTCGCGAGATAGCTTTCCCGCAAGCAACATAGAATAATAAGAAACAAGCGACGAAAAAAAAAGAAAAGAGAACAAACAACGGGTCGTCTCTAGATTAAATCAGGCAGCTAAGGCGTTACTGACGTATTACTAGTGCCCGAAATCGAGGAAAGAGAGAGAAAAAAAGAAAACGATGTAGAAAAAATATAGACGCCGATGCATTTTCTTTCTCGTTTTCCCTTTTTTTCCTTTTGCCCCTACTTTCTGCTATTGTGCATGACGAGTGTAACATACACAACCCAAATTCTTCATCATCCTATCATTATTTGCTACTCGAAGAAATAATAAACGAAGATAAATCCGCGCACATATATATATATATATATAAGCAGCAGATCTTTTCTAGTTTTCTACTTAATTGTTTTTTTGTTTGTGCGTAATCTTACACGGAATAAAACGAGGTGCAACGCATACGCGTTATGTTATTCGGATTGGTCAGCAAACGACAATCAGTAAGTTCCTTTTTTTTTGCCTTTTTTTTCTTCTATTTAAACAAATGCTCTATGTTGTGTAATCTGTCAGTATCAGGTGTATAATATATTGATGGCTTGTGCTTTTTTTTTCTCTTTGTTAATTATCATACTCGTAATCAAAAATAAATGCAGGTGAATCTCATCATCGGACATCTCTTCATAGATATTTTATCATTGAATTAGGCAGCTGTTCGCTTTTACGCCAATTGAGATTTGTCAATTAAAATGAGAAAGTTTAACTCAAGGAGCGTAAATATCTTCGAGACGAGACCTTTTCAATAAAATATACTTCTAAATGAAGGTCTTCTAATCATAGGTCTGCAAAAAAAAAAGGGAGAGACCTAGAATAAGAAGGCTTGAAATTGTTCTTGTAATGATAACGTATACATGTAACACGCATCAAAAAAGAAAAAGAAGAAAAAAAAAGACAAGAAGTAATAAAAGCATATGAGTGGAAAATGTTGGAGGCCGTTCATCCCTTCGTACACATGGTAGCTCTCTTTTGACTCTTGCAAAAAGGAAAGAAAAGTAAAAGTATCAGAATAAGATATGAATATAGTATGAGCATATGAATGTTCGTACGCTCTTGAGTAAGCGAACATGATTTATCTATCATACGAAAGCATATATATGTATGTATAGTGAGGGTTACGATGATACAGTATGATGATGGTTAATGTGAAAGAAAAGTAATACCAAAAGAAAAAAAGATTGAACACTATGTGTTTATATCATATCATTTTATGCATATAAAAATGAAGGTATATATTATGAAATTGATCTAAATATTTTGTTCAAGTGTGAAGGTTTATATCTAGAAAAATCAATTTAATCTTCTTCTTCTATCAGTATTGACGTGAGTACAACTAAAGAAATAGAAAAATTAAGTTCTTTTTTTTTTGTATCTTAGATTTCTTTTCTTTTCATTGTTATTCTCTATTAGTAGTCATGTATTTCAAGATTAGATCATGATAATCAGATCTATTTATACAGAGAACGAAAATATTCAAGTAGCCATTTGAGAAAACATCTGCATACTTAGCATTAATTCTTGTCACATTCATATCGGCCTTTTCCCTTCTCTTTATTATTTGTTACAGAAAAGATATATGATGGCACTATCGAAGCCTTGCATGCTTGTCTTTACTTCCTATCATCACTTGTGTATATGACCTTTACATCTATCTTTATTGATGAGAAAAGAACGAACTCGAATCATACATTACATATATAATCCTGGCACATAGTAAGTTCTTTTTATTTCTTACTATGTAACAGTAAATGAAAAATGTGAGATTCTTGATTTTAATCAATGAAGTATTGAAGATAAGTCCTCATGGTTTTTTTGACGCATGTATATATGAGTGCTATTCCAAATTTTCTCTTATCCTTTTCTTGTTGTAAATCATATACTACCCATTCTTGTTATTCTCTCGTTTTTTTTTCGCCTTTCTTCTCTTGTTTACAGGCGTACTAGCCTCCCTAATAGGATACACTGTTGTCTATAATGATAGTCTCTTTCTTTTCTTGTCGAGACAGCTTGAAAAAAAAACCAGCACATATTATTACCATCTCAACATCATCATCAATAAAATTTTCATTCTCTTTCATTTATCAATTTCTTTTTTTTTTTTATTTCGAATGGTAGTTGGCTAGCTTATCATCATTAACACGCAGAGTGTGAGAAAAAAAGAAAAGAAACTCGACAAGAAAGAAAAAGATGTATGTATGTCTGTCTAGTGTCTGTCTTTCGTTTTATTCATTTGTTCGACGTACGTATAAGTAATATCAATCAGTAATTGTATATTATTTGAGGTCAACGATAATGAGGTAGCGATACAATCATGTTTATTCATAGGTAAATAGAATGTCTTAAATTTTTTTTTCTTAGTTGATTCTATGTTCAATCAGAATTGTGGAACAACATTAGTTTCTCAATTACTTGATTCAATTGATAGTCATTTACAAACCGTTCATTCACCAATGGAACAACAACAACAACAACCACAACAACAACAACAATTACCAGAATATGAAATGTCTGTTGATACTCCAGATGATGATGAACTATGGCTTAGTGGTCATCGATCAATATTTTCATCA